GTGTATGTTAGTTTTTGTAAAAGGGCTTTCTCCTCCTCTTGTCTTATTTTTGTCTTTGGGATGAATTGTCTTGGGTCTTTTTTTGGTTGTGGGTTTTTTTTCTGTATATAAGTTGGCTAACATCTTTTTCCAAATCCATTTTTAAAATGTGCATTATTACATGTTATCATAATATAATTTCATTTTATTATGAATATGTATACATTATTCTTTTCGTATCTCCATAACGCCACAAATGAATTCTTTCTGAATTGACAGTTAAAAATTATAAAGTTAAAAAAGCAACAACCAAACATGTTGGAGGAGCATCAAAAAGGGAAGGTGTCTGTCTGCATTATAAAACTAAATACATGTCATAGGTCAAAAGGTACTCTACACAGAACTTATACCTCAGCTGTATTCATAGATCAGCCTGTTCTCATTACTGCTGCTCAGTTTTAATCTGAAACATGTTTCACATCTACCATTTGAGAAGCAGGAGAGTATTATTCTTGGGTAGCCATCTGCCTTGGAATACAGTTCTGTAGCTATTGACGGTCTTGTAGAATAACTGGAGGACACCCATCATTGGAGATATCTCCTGTTCTCTGAACAAATAGTGGGGTTTTGTTGTGGTGGTTTGTTTGTTGTTTTTTTTTAAAACTACACAGTCTTCTCCAGACATACACAAATGCTTTCAACAGCTTAAGGAAATGGTTACAAAATGCCCTTTGCCACCCACTTGGTGAGAGTTGAGTGGTCCAAGAAGCTTTCAGTTACAACATGCTGTAAGACAGTGGCTGAAGGCCCAGGCATAGCTGAAGCTGCACTTGCCAAAAAAGTTCTCTCAGATGCATATGTGCATCCCTGGAGTACACATAGGATCACCATGTTTCAAAAAGTTCTCAGTTACTCTACTCTCTTGTTGCATAGGTAAAGGTGGACATTGAATACTTTCTGCCAGGTTATATAACTTGGTATATTGTAATAAACATGTCTAAAGTTTTACATGCAAAATTTATACAGTATAAAACTGTCTTCCACATAAAATTTTCTGCCAACTACTATGCACATGCATTTAGATATTAGACTTCTGACCTTAAGGTGTAAAAGTATCTTGAAATTAAGATACGGCAAGAAAGAATTTAAAAATAGAAGTGAATTGGTATTATCGAGTATAGACAGTATTTGATTGATATAAATAGCTCCTACTAATGTCAGAATTGGATTACAAAACCCCAAAATATTTCATAACTTGAATTTCTAATTATAAAAGAACCTCATAATGGGGTGAAAATTGATGTATTCTTCTCTGCAGGTTCAAATGGACCACAGTTGTTTACAGTTGAACAGTGGGGTACCCCTGAAAAACTGCCAAGAGCTCATACCTGGTGCGTATTTAATATAAGTAAATTATGACCTTTAGTGGAGTGATAAAATACTTAAGAGTTTTCATCTGTTTTTCAGCTTTAATCGCTTGGATTTGCCTCCATACGACTCGTTTGAAGATTTATGGGATAAACTTCTTCTCGCAATTGAAAATACTCAGGGTTTTGATGGGGTTGATTAAGACACAGTCATAAATTGTATTGGTCCAGTGCTGCAATTTCATTTTAAGGGTTTACAAACAAATTCAAATTTTCCAGGGACTACCATTGTATTTAGTCACATGGCTATTGAATCTTCATAGTATGACTTGTAAAGTTAAGTATTAAAAATTTACTAAATTTTAAAAATGTATTTTGACATTTCCACAGTTTTGTGTACTTTGCTAATAACTACAATATACACATTGGATGGGCCAGTGCCAAGTAGGTCAAAAACTAAAATGTTTTTAAGCAGTTGCTTCTTCTACAGTATTAGACAGACAGTCCTGCAGTAAACTACTGAAGTAAAACTGTGAAGAAATCTTTGCAGAGGGTGTAAATTTGAATTGCTGCATTGAGGAACAACTGAAATTGTTAAACTGTTTTTAAAATAAATTAAAAAAACAAAAACAAAAACAACACAAAACCACCAAACTTCATGTAATGCAATTTCGTAATTTGTGCTGCTTCAGGCTGTTTGCTACAGATCTGCCCAAAGCACCTTATAATTCAGTGTATTAGGTAAAATATTGGAAAGCATTTGTTTGCATTATCAGCCATGAGTTTGCAGAACATTGACTTGCTGACACATTTTATTTGTTAGATTTCTCTTTCTAACTTGCTTTTCTTAAAACAGTGTAACAAAACCAAGTTTTTTATATAAAGCAGATAAGCAGCAGAATTCTGAATTGCGGTGAGAAATTATATCCATTTTTTGTCTGAATTTGTATACTGTCATTGGTTTATTGAGTGTTCATCACTTTTTTGGGATAAATTTGTAGTTCAACGATGGATAATATTTTCAATTCAGCCTTTTGCAACAAATTAATCTTAAAGTGAAATTTATATGGATATCACTCAGTATTAGTTACTGGTAGTTAGAGGCCTTTATTATCCATTCTTGCAGTATTGCACTACATAACAATAAAGAACATGTTTACAGGGTTTTCTGGGCCAAATTCAGCAGTCTGATATGTGCAAACTTCTCTGAATTGCGTGGAGGTCATGCACATGTCACCAGATGCAGAATTTGGTTCTGTAAGATGTTTACAGGTTATGCTAGTTTCTATAGCTGCATTTTTATATTTTTTTTTCTCCACTGTTAGTCTAGAAACCAAATTTGTTAAGACAGTATAACCAAAGTCATAACCAACAATGTGCAATTTATTGTAGATCAACTTGTCATATAAATATTAGTTTGATTTCTTTTGTAAATGTGGGGGTTTTTTTGTATTAATGTTAACACTTTTTTTGAGCAAGTGCTGGTTAAAATGATTAGCATAGTTGGTTTTAAAAGAAAAAACAGTTTCTATACCTACCTTGCTCTAATTTTAACATTTTATTACCAATATGATCAGAGGAAATGACAGTATCTAGCTTTGGCCAGCAAACTTCTGTTTAGTCACAGTCTTTATAAATATGCAAGAAGGAAGTGTAGCACATCTCTCTATAAAGGTATGTAAATTATGTAACAAATGTAATGGGTCTTAAGGGATATTTAAAATCCCACTTTGTTTTATTCTTTGACTAGGTCATTAGGGCTGAGAGTATTACATGTACATAAAGGTAACTTATACAAATTTCCAAAATCTATATGCAGTTTTGTAAAACACGAATGATATATCAGTAAATCTGTATAGATTTGAATGTAGCAGGTTTTGTTGCATACTTTGAAGTATAAAATAAGGATCCTGAAAGCAGTAAATAAAAGTTTATTCTAATAAGTTGTGACTCAGTTCTTTGAAGTGCCAATTGCTAGTCTTGAACTAGCAAAAATTCAGTAGTTTTAGTACTCGGAGGTAGACCGGGGCAGCAGTCCCACCACAGCATGCTGCTGCTTTTGGATAGGTGGTGAGGTGCAGCAGTGCTGTTTCCTCATGTTCTGCTGCCAATAAATGTGTACGGTCTTTGAAAAATTAATACCATGTTTTTATAAAAGCTCTAGGTCGCTGTGAACCTTCAGTGTATAGCCAGCCTAGAAACACTATGTGTGGCAGCCAGGCAAAGGTGGAGCCCCACGGAAATGCCATCTGACTGCTGCTGAGGGAGGGTCAGGCTCCTCTCTCTTGCTGGAGGAACACCTTTCTCAGCTGGTGGGCAGGCACGCAGCCAACAGACTTCAGTGGTGAGTGTGGCAGGGTTTCACAGTGGGCCCTGAAAGGCTGCTCCAGGCAGCATGGGCAGCCCAGCAGCGATGGGGCTGCCCAGCAGGGCTTGGTCCACAGTGCCAGCTGGGGAAGCAGCCCTGGGATGTGGGTGGAAGCTCCTGGAGGAGGAGGAGGAGGATGCTGCCAGGTGTTGGGCTGCAGGGAGTAGCTGGTGCTTTCCTGGGAGCAGGGACAGGGATGGCTTTGCCTACAGGAGTTCTGCTGTGGGCCTGGCCCTGATTTTTGCCCCATGAAGGAGCTACAGGGGAAGTGAGCAGACATGTAGCATTGAAGTGGATGGACAGCAAGAGGTCATAAGAGACATTGCAGAGACATTGTAGAGGCAAAAGCCAAACCACGCACTGGGAATAAGAAGGAACAGCTTGAGGCCTTACTTGGGCAGGTGGTGGATTGAGATTCCCAAGATGGGTGAAGTTTGTGACTTCTGGCATCAGAAGAAAGGCTGCTTTACCGCACTTGGGGTATGAATTTACAAAAGTACTGTAGAGCTGTAGTAGACAAAGAAAGGAATGAGTTGCATTAAGGGAAAGGTTCAGAGCCAGATAGGCCCGAGTCAAACATTCACACTTGAGAAGTGGTGGGTGATAGAGTGCAGAGAGACCCTTCTGCGGGGTTGAAACTAGGTTTGCTGAGGAATGGTGATAACAGCTTGTGGTTAAGTGAGAGAAGAGAGGTCAATGGCCATTGGGAGGGAGGAAGGCAGTCCTTACAGCGGATGCCCCAGGCTGAAGGAAGCCTACCTCATGTGCCTGAACACACAGGCAGCCAGGGAAAGACCAGGAGGAGCATGAGAGATGGTTTGTACGGTTGGAGCCACTCAGATGTGGGAGACCTGTGGAAGAGGTGACAGGCTGGTACAGAGCTTTGTGGGTCTGGGTTGGAGGAGACACCAGGATGGGAAACATTGGCCTTGTTCCTGGCCATGTCTTTGTCATGAGGAAGTGGGCAGAGTGATCTTTGAAACATCTCAAGGAATTCTGAAATTGCAAACCTGGCCTCTTACAGGAGACTGACCTTCCTGGCGTCTGCAGGAAGGGCGATGTGAGAGGATGCAATCTGGGAGGCTCTAAACAAACAAGGGTGTGGGCTTGGCCAACCAGGGAGATGCTCTCCTGGGTCAGCTGCCTGTCCCTTTGTACTCATATTTTCTGCACATTGCACCTCCATTTTCCCTGAAACATACACACTTAGATTTTGAGGGGCAACTCCAGAGATGCTGCTGTGAACACTGAGCTGTTTTTTCACCAGAAGCAGTTCCTGGCAGACCATGACGGTAGAGATGAGAGTAGCAGCTGCTTCCCTGAGTGTTAACCACCCTCTCTCCTACACTGTAATTTCATTACTCTTAAGACCCAGATGAGGGGTAAGGCAGAAAAATTTCCCAGGTAGGTAAGAGCTGAATATATCAATCTGCTGAAAAGAAAGTATATAGGGTTGACATTTGGCAAGAGATTTTGTGCAGGTCGGGTTAAAAGCTTCGATCTGTGAAGAAGCTTGAGACTTGAGCAAGATGCCAATTCTAGAGCAGGGACCAGACTACAACATGAGGGAGAGGGGGGCTGCAAGGAGAAATGTCTCACTTTTCTCAGCTTTAAAAATGCTTCCCGGAAAATTCATGGGTGTTTTTGGTGGTGGTTTTCTGGGCTGTGCTGAGCCTGAGAGCTGTAAGCGGAACAGTTGCCTACCCTCGGTTATGGCGTCTGCAGGTAAACACTGATTAGAACTGGCTTTTATAGAACCTGAAAGATGCCAATGAAAATCTGCCCTTTAGTTAGTTAATTTCCACCCCCCCCAGCCGCTGCTGGGAGCCTTCCCCGCGGCCGCCATCGAGGCCGCCTCTCCGCGGCGGCGCCGGGAACGGCCGCCAGGTGGCGGTGCCGCGTTGGGGCGCGCGCGGGCGGCGGATCAGCCGCTTCCCGCCCCAAAACCCTCCCGCTGCAGAGCCGGCAGCGTGCGGGGAGGGATGTGATCAAGCTGCCGACAAGGCGGGGTTGGATCATCCCAGGACACTGCAAAAACTTCTTTTTCTGAACATTTTTCAGGGGGTTGAATTTTCTAAGTTGAACCATTTCTGTTTCGTGTTTAGTAAGGATGGTGATGACCGTTGTTTGTGTATTGATTACTGCCCTTTCATAGTGAATGGTGTTTCTGAATAAATAAATATGGTGCTGTCAAATAATTGAATTTCTTTTGCCTAAAAGAGATAAAAATATATAGATTAACCTCAGCAAAGGCTTACAGTGTAAGCTGTTTATAATTCAAAGGACTACTTTGCTGTGGGTGCGGTTTTCGTAAATGTTTCAATCAATGTCAATAATTTGATTTGTGTTGATTTAAAGGGTTTTGGCCTGAATTGTCTTTCTCTAAAATTTCTCCTTTACTCCAAAGGTGGCCACGTATGTGGAAGTGCTTTGCAGTCTGGTGTTACAGAAACGAGACGTTAGGTACGAACAAGAACCATTCAACAATAACTTGGAGGTTTGGGGCGGTGTAGGCTGGGGGGTTTTTTCCTTCAAAATTCCTTTCTCTCAACTGGCATTGGGTTGTTTTTAGGCTGGGTGTTATTTGTATCAAATCTTTCACTTCTCCAGGTGGTACAGGTGATTCTTCAGCATTCTTGTTGCATCATGAGGCAGAGCTGTGGGTTAGTATGAAGCTAAACCAATTTATTTAAAGTGCCACTTGAGGCTTGAAGGATGTGTGACTTAAGTAAGTAAACTTTTTAATTACTATTAATAAGTCACATCTGTAGCATATTAAACAAATTATTTTTTACTAGATACAGAGTTGAGTACTGACACATCAAACCTGGGCAAAATAGGAGTGTAGGCTGATTACTTTTCTTCTGTATTCTGTTTTCCCCTCTCTAACCTCAGTGTTTCATGCATAAACTTACTTTGCAAGCTACCTTGTGTCTTGGCATTTGATTTGTTCTTTAAATCCGTAAGCATGGTTTGGTGCTATTTCACTAGTCTATGGTGTCTTTATAAAAATCTCTGTGTGTCTCATTGAAATCCACAGATGCCTCTGGCGTACTGTGAAACATGTCCTGGATCAGCACAGATTTCCTTTTTTTTCTTGTGTACTTTTTTCAGCGTGACTTCAGTGTTACTTAGCAAATGGATGATACTTATCAGTTCCCTAGAGTGGGAATTACATAATCACGACAATAACATGCTAAAACACACATGAAGTAATTAAAACTGAATGTGTGTAAATTTAAATTCTTTTTTGACGTTAGTTATTTCGTGTGTGGTCAAAAAGAATGTCAGCCATTAGGAGACCAAGCTCTTCTGCCTGTCATTCTTCATGCTGTCCATTTGTGTTTTCCTTTCCGTTTCTCATTAATCAGTTTGCTCTGGTGCTTGGGTTATTCACATAGAGTAATATAAAATTATTTTCTTTGTTTGAGCTTCTCCTTTTTTAGGGCAGTTTGTTTATTATCTTCCCTTTTTAATGGACATTTTCTTTAAAGGAATCAATGCTCAGTTCTTATGGTGTGAACGGAGAGGAGCCTGCAGTTAGAGTGTTAGTTATTTACTTGCTGTTACACTGCTGCCACCACCAAGAATCCATACCTCTTATGTGCCATAGAATCACCTTATTGAAACATCTATACGTTTAAAAGGCAACCAACACCTACCATCTTCCATTGCTATAAATGGGAATTAAGCATTTAACAGCTGCTGTATTGCTCTGCGGCATCACAAAATCAGTAGGAGACTCAAGCACAAGCTTTGGTACTCTTAGAGTAAATCATTTTTCTTTGAAGTGGAGACTTAATTGCTTTTTCTATGTGGAACATATATCATTAGCACGCTAATCAGAATACAAACGGCTCACAAAGGGGATAATGAGGGAGAACTTCCATGTAATGCTTGGTTTACATCCACGTGACTGTAGAAAAATGTTTTGTTTTGCTGAGCTGTCCTTAATTTGAGGTTTCTTGCTTAATGAGACTTCAAACGAATTCTGCATTGTAGGTTTCAGGTTTTCATCCCAGAGAGAGGCTTGGGATTTCGGGGAGGGGGAGACAAAGTGGCTTGGAAAACCTGAACAGACATTAAGTGAGTGAGCACGCCTCTTGAGGAAAGACAGATAAGGCAGCCTTCCTAAATGTGACAGGATGTAAAACTTTCTGTTGAAATACACCACGGTCTAAAAACATACATCACAATTTGTTATTCTTAAGCCCTTTTGAGTTTAATTTAATGGAAAATGTTTTCATAATTGTCTGGTAGGTTTTCTGATATTTTTTACAAGCTGAAATATTTCTGACTCGGGTTTTGTTTTGAGGGCTGGGAAGTATGACCTTTCAGAGGCTGTGAACACACATGTCCTACTATGCACTGCTGCTTGGGAGTATGCAAAATGCTAAAGGTTTAAATCAAATTGCCCCGAGGACTGCTTACTGACCTTTTGAGTGCAAAGCTGTCAAAACCTTCAACTAGGCATCAGCTAGAGAAGAACACTTAAGGCAGATCAATGCAAATAGAAAACAATGTGGTTCTGACTTTTGGCAATTCCCAGTTAGTGGGAAACAGTTACTGTGCTGCAAGAGCTGCCGGATACAAACCCACACTGCCAGGGATTTGCTGTGAGTAACATGTAATAGTTGATTTTCAGGGAAAACCTTTTATAATCTGCTTAAGAAATTAAAAGTTTTCATTAATTGCCAAACCCTGATATAGTTATCTGAGCAGGATGCTTCATTGACTTCAAAGGGATTTTTGTCTACTTAAGGAATGCAGGGTCAGGCCCTTAACCAGTGATAACTTTCTTCAGTGGATTGTCAGATATGACAAACTATGCCACTTTAATAGAGGTTCCCCTTGCCATGCCATGCCATCCCTTTTTCCTCAAAACCTGCTTTCTTCCTTTGCCCAGGTAATAGAGTTTCTGGAAGGTTGCTGTATAGAAGAGCTTAGAAATTATTCTCTAGCTGAAGCTGTGGTTTCCGTGAATATGTTTTCTTTACTTTGAATAGCTGTAGCACATAATATTCTAGTTATGAGATATATAATAAATTTAGTTGTGGAAAGTGTTTGGTGGAGTTGTGAGTCCCCCTGCATTCAGTGAATTGCTGTCCAGCAATTCGTTGTCCATCCTTAATAGATTTATTCCTAATTAGTTGTTCATGCACTATTGCTTGCTCTAATGCAGGGTTTTAAATAAATGCTTTCCTTTCTATGTAGGCTTACAGAAATGGACCAAAAGCTAAGGGACTGAGAAGCTGTTCATTGGTATGTTGGATTTCAGTCCAATAATTATAGGCATCTGGTGCAAAAAGTATTAATTGTGTATATCCTGCGCTGAAGACCTACTGAATAATTACTTCACAGGTTAGTGAAAAATAATTTTCTGTGCTTCATCAGAACATTAAAATTGCTCTTCTCTCTGTAATTAAAAGTTAGCTATCAAAACATGAGGTGCTGCTTCATGCAAGGCAAAAATAGTACAGTTGAGTGATTTTTTCAGAATAATTATTTTTTACTGTTCTCCACACTGAGAATTCAAAGTTTGACTGTAAACCATTCTAAAATCAAATTTCCACTTATATAAATGTCTACAGTTTTTTAAAGATAAAAAAGAGGTCAGGTTGAAATTTCTTGCACACCTGAATTAGGAAAGCAAACAACATTTCAGTCATGTAGATACTTTTTTTGTATTGGAAAAAGTCTAGCTATTTAATTGACTCTTAAGGTGCAAACAGGCTGGATCAGTTGATCTCTCACTGTGGAAAGAAATTAGTCCTAATTGCTCTGTATCTAAAGTGAAGGCTGAACAGCTAAATCGGCTGATCCGGGGCTGCAGCTGCTGCAGGGATGGGACGTGACAGGGAGCTGAGCTGCAGGATGAGGCTCGGGGTGTCCCACACAGGAGGTGTTAATAGGGAGGAGGCTGCACTTAGGATGCCTTGGAAAGGGCATTTGTCCATCTCTGCCCCTCCAAAAGCTGATAGGAGTTCAAATCCTGCTCTGAGTATTAAGACTGCTCTCTGCGTGTTGAAGGTTTTCTTTAGTTTGGCTAAAGCGTCATGCTTTCAGTGCTGCCATAGCTTGCTGATGCTGAACTGGATGCCCCTGTGGCCCCAGCTGCTCCAGTTGGGATTTCCTCTCAGTGACTTGCACTGGCCTGGTCCTCAACTGAGCACATTAGGCCAATTTAATTCACTGACTTGTCATAAAACACCCCACCCCCTTTTTTTTCTAGTTACTTAGGATGAATATTGTGGCATTCCATATGTGTATTATTTGCCCAACACAAGTTCTGTCATGTGCCAGCATTTGGCTACTGTGACCACCTAGAGGTATCTGAACATAAATGACAGAAAAATATTATTTAGCATTTACCAAACATAATCCTGGGATAATGATTAGATACTGAATAACAGCACAGCTGAAGCCAAGTTATACTACCAGCAGCCTTAACTGCTGGTTGTTCTCCTGATGCACTAGGCAGGCACAGCTGTGTCATGCCACATACTAAACTCAACCAGGGACTTGATTCCAGCAAAACAAACCCAACTGATTTTTCTCCCCCCAGGTTATTTCCACCAGGATCAGTTCTCTGATCTGATCCCTTGTTTGGCCATGCAAGCTCTTATACCAACCAAATGTAGGCACTGCAACTTACAAAGCACTGAATGGCATCGTAGAATGGTTTGGGTTGGAAGGGACCTTAAAGCTCATCCAGTTCCAACCCCCTTGCCATGGGCAGGGACACCTCCCACTAGACCAGGTTGCTCAAAGCCCCATCCAGCCTGGCCTTGAACACTTCCAGGGATGGGGCCTCAACACCTTCCCTGGGCAACATGTCAGTTTCTCACCACCTGCAGAGTAAAGAATTTCTTCCTAATATCTAATCTAAATCTCCCCGCTTTCAGTTTAAAACTGTTACCCCTCATCCTATCGCTACACTCCCTACCCATCTTTTCTGTAGGCCCCCTTTAAGTACTGAAAGTCTGCTATAAGGTCTCCCCTCGAGGCTTTTCTTCCCTTCTCTTCCCCCGGCATCAAACCAGTGGAGGGTGCCTGTGGATGTGCTTCCAGCAGAGCCTCTGATCTCTTCCTCCCGCCCTACTGTGTCTGGGCAGGGGCCAGATGGAGACCTGAGCCAGGTTTCTAATGATGTGGGGGAAAGAGGAATCGGGGTGGATTGCTCCATTTTTCCTCCATCCCAGGGCACTGTGATGCAGCCATGTCTCCTGCCTTCAGCTCTGGTCCAGCATCGGGCAGACAGCTCTTCCAGAGCCTCTAAAAAATGTGAAATCCCCGTGGGCTCCCAAGTGACTCCCCCAGCCCAGCTGAGATAAAATCCCAATGACTGCAGCTGATGGAAGCAGTAATTTCAGCATCAAAAGAAATTGCCCCTGTGCTGCCCAACTTTTGGCTCCCTGTGGTTCATCTTCCCCCCCCCGCCCCTTGGCTCACTCCTTGCACCGGGGTGTTGCCTTTAGCGGTTCAGCCCAAATTCTT